ACATGAAGGCTCGTTTATCAATTTCCGAAGCTTTGTCCCTAGAAATGGATTATGGGATGTCAAACACTCTGGTAATCCATTATATTGGCGAGGAATGCGATACGACCACTTTGTTCGAGCGAAACTGGATCAATCCATGTCTAACGATGCTTGGCTAGAAGACTTCCCCTCAGGAAGATCAAAATATCTGTGCTACGAAGGAGCTGACCATCGCCCTTTAGTCACCTTCCTTGACGATTCTAGAATCAAGCGAAGAGGCATTTTTTGTTTTGATAATAGACTTCACGAAAAGGAAGATATTATGGACCTTATTGGGCGAGTATGAAACTACGACAACCGACAATCTGTGCTGGCGAAGATCTCGGATTATCGCAGAGAAATTATCAACTGGGTTAAAGAACAGAACATGAATAATATGAAACTTATCCTCGAAACTCAAGTCGAACTAGAAGCAGCACTATCAGCTGATGTTCCCAGCCTCGAAATAATCAGAAAGTGTACAGTTATTCTGGAAAAAAAACTTAAAAGGAAGAGGAGCAGTTCTAGAAACAGATGAGTCGGATTCTCTGGCTCTAGAGTGGTGATCGAAATACAGGTTATTTCCATGCCGTTATGCGAAACCGGTGAACCTGTAACAGATTCACTGTCTTAGAAGACGAGAAGGGCATAGCACATCTTGAAGAAAGAGACTTCACTCGCATTATTTTCGAGTACTTCGGCAGCATCTTCTCTTCACAGTCTAATGCAGTTTTACAGCTGGTTGATGAGGTGCTCTCTCCACTCATATCTGAGGAAATGAATCACAGCATTACGAGGATCCCATATGCTGAAGATATTCACGCCGCGGTGAAGGGCATTCACCCGAGTAAAGCTCCTGGTCCGGATGGTTTCTCTGCTGGTTTTTTTCACACATACTGGCCAATCATAAGACATGATGTTGTGAAGGTAATCCAGAACTTTTTCACTACTGGAACTTTTCCTTCTCGCCAGAATGAAACCCATGTTCGCTTAATCCCTAAGATCGCTGACCCAAGGAAAGTTGCTGATTACCGACCAATCGCTCTGTGCAATGTCTACTACAAGATTGTTGCGAAAATCCTTACTAAGCGACTACAAGGTATTCTCCCACTCATCATCTCCGAAACTCAATCCGCATAGGTAGAGCGATCTCATACAATGTCCTGATCATCCATGAGACGCTCCATTACCTTAGAACTTCAGAAGCCCGAAAACGATGCTTCATGGCATTAAAAATGGATATGAGTAAGGCTTCCGACCGTATTGAATGGGATTTCCTTTGAGCTGTGCTAGTTTGTCTCGGCTTCCATATTATATGGATTAATTGGATCATGGAATGCGTCACCATGGTCTCCTACTCTTTTTCTCATAAACGGACGCCCCCAAGGAAAAGTTATTCCCTCCAGAGGACTTCGACAAGGAGATCCACTATCACCGTACTTATTTATCCTTTGTACGGAGGTTTTAGCTGGAATGTGTCTCAAAACCCAAGAAGATGGATCCTTACAGGGGATCCGAGTTGTGAGATTAGCCCCTAGGTAAACTACCTGCTGTTTGCGGACGACACGATATTCTTATGCAAATCAGACCTGGGAAGCTGCTCCACACTAACTTTGATACTTCACAGATACGAAACTGTTTTGGGCCAATGCATTAATTTCAGCAAATCGTCAATTTTCTTCTCGGCAAAAACACCAAGATTCCAACGGATCGCAGGCAGGAGAGCCCTCAACATCCATAATGAAGGAGGCACCGGGAAATATTCGGGTTTACCGGAAAACTCCGGCCGAAGAAAGAAAGATATTTCGCGGGCCTCGTCGATCGAATCCGCCAAAGATCCCATAGTTGGGCTTCACACTTCCTATCTGCGGCAGAAAAGCAAGTGCTTCTAAAGTCAGTGCTCGCGGCTATGCCGTATTACACCATGTCCTGCTTTAAACTCTCGATCTCCTTATGTAAACAGATTCAATCTGTTCTCACAAAATTCTGGTGAGACGATAAAGCAGACCTCCGGAAAATGTGCTGGGTTTCATGGGCCAGACTCACAGCCCCAAAGAATGTTGGAGGACTGGGTTTTTGAGATATCAAAAATTTCAACGACTCTTTACTTGCAAAACTAGGAGGCAGACTCATCTCCCACCCTCAAACATTTTTTTCTCGAGTATTACTCGGCAAATACTGCTTTAATAGTTCTTTCTTGGAATGCAAGATCTTCTCGAACCTTTCTCATGGCTGGAGAGGTATTATGGCGGGAACAGAGAAATCCTCCGAAAAAGTCCGGGTGGCTTATAGGTAATGGTGAATCTATTAACGTCTGGAAGGATCGCTGGCTTAGCTTGGAAACTCCTCTTCGACCTTTATGGCCCACCACCTTTTGCCTAAATCATCCTTTGCGTCTCTGACCTCCTGGATCCTGAACATAACTCATGGCATTGGGAAAGGATTCAGAAAACTATCCCTGAATGCGAGCCCCTCATTCGGCTGCTACCAATGGGATCATCACGCCCAATTGACAGACGAGTCTGGCTTCCCCAGAAGAACGGAAATACTCTGTCAGATCAGGTTATGGACTTTTAATGACAGAAACAATCTCAGAGAGACAAAAAAACTTTAACTGGCAGAAGAACATTTGGAAACTCCGCACAGCGGGCGAAAATCAAATAGTTCTTCTGGAGAACTGCAGTGGAGGCACTCCTGTGGGAGTTCAATTAGTCTGTAGGGGAATTCAAGTGGACGCAAATTGTAAGTTATGCGGACACCCTGAGACAATTTCCTATGTTTTTTGAGACTGCTTTTTTGCAAGAGAAGTTTGGGACCTCGCACCACTCAAAAGCAAATCGCATTTAAATACGGTTCAGATTCTCGACTTTCTCTCTATCATTCCGGCACTGTTAAGCCTTCCTCCAACTGGTACGTCAGCTTTGTTGTTACCTGCTTGGATTTGTTAGCATCTGTGGACAGCTTGCAACCAGCGTATTTTCTCCGACACGACTTATTCGGCTAAAGAAGTTGTCAACAAGACCATCATTGAAGCAAAAACTTGGCAGGAATCCCAATCTGCCATCGCAATCCACAGGCTACGCAACCGCGAGCTTCGCCCCCTTTTCAATCTTTCCAAATCAACTGTAAGGTCGACGCCGCCTAGCATGCGGATTCAGGAAATTCTGACATGGGGGTTTTCTTCGAGATTAAGAATGAAAACAGGAAACTGCATTTTTCGAGCTTGCAACAGTTTGTGTCATCAGCGTTAGCAGCGGAGGCTTGGGTACTCAGAGAAACCTTGCTCCTCGCCATTGACAATGGCTTCGATGAGATCCAAATGCTCTCAGATTCCCAGTCTCTTGTTTCCGTCCTCAACTCATATGAGACTCATACAGAGATACACTCTATTGTTAATGATATCCGTCAATTGACGATATTCTTCTCCTTAATATCTTTCTGTTTTATCCCTCGCTCTGTTAATGACGAGGCGGACTCCAATACTAAAGATACTCTTAGAGCTTTGATGTTTCCAATTTGATATTTAATAAAACTACCGTTTTGACAACCAAAAAAAAGTATCTAAAGAAGTTTTGCGGAAAATTGGCTTTTTCCTACTTAAAGTATAAAGATATGTTATTTTCATATCCGAATTATGCTACAGTGCTAAATCACATTAACTTAATAAAATTTCAAATTACATATCTAATCTTTTCTTTTGTGCTAAAACATACATTTGATTTAACGGTGTCATCAAACCGTTAAACTTTGTCTATGTGGCAGCCACATCTAAAATTGTTTTTGTTTACATAAATGATAAATCTGAGTCAATTTAGCCCAACAACACGCAGTCGTTTTCATGTATTCTCTTGTTCTTTTTTTCTTCCCCAGTTCCCCTCTTCTTCAACCTCTCGCCACACACAGTAACGATTTGGGGGTTTTAAACTCCCCAGATTTCGTTCAATATTCAATAATCAGAAGGATTTAAAAACCCTACAAGTATCCAATACATAAACATTGTTTCTCCTTCGTGTAGCAGCCTCGCTTTTTTTTTTTAATAAAGAGTAAAACCCTAAATTGGGAATGTCACTTAATGAAGTAGATATGTCGATTGAGAATTTGAGATTCTTCGAATCTATATAAGTTTGAGACATCTTGCATCATAATTTGGGGTTTGTTATCTGTGTGTTGATCATGAGAGTGCATGATATGGGTTTGTTGTATAATGATTTTGGAAGCCTAGCGTCAAGAAGGAGTATCTGATATTTTTATTTTTTCTGTTGAATGGGCTCTGGAAAAAAATAGATTCGAGTCTTTGACTGACAAGAGCAAGCTCGATGGCCAGCCAGAACTCTTCATTCAAATCATCCCGGACAAGAGTAACAACACCGTGACCATTATCGTCAATGTTGAGAGGTTGAAGAAGAGAGGGGTTGAAGAAAGAGGAAGACAATAAAAAAGAGAAAAAAATGTCGTAATGTGGGAGAAATTGAATCAGATTTTTGTAAACAAAAAAAAATTGCACGTGGCTGCCACATACACAAAGTTTAACGGTTTGATAACACTGTTAAGTCAAATGTATGTTTTAGCACAAAATAAAAGATTATGTATGTAATTTGAAATTTTATTAAGTTAATGTATAATTTAGTACGGTAGTATAATTCGGGTATAAAAATAACATATCTTCATACTTCAAATAGGAAGAAGCCAATTTTCCGGAGTTTTGCCATCAATTAGTAATCATATGAAGATTGAAATCCCATTAGTCAATAGCGCATCATGTTAAAATCCAATCAGTAAAAAACGACATTTGTCAATTTATGGTAAAACATGTGTAATATATTATTAAATCTTTGACTATTTTGTTAATGATATGATAATTCACAGCTAAGATTCTAAAATCCCATATTATCATCTGTGTAGTTTGTTACTACAAAATCAGAACTAAAAGGCAACAAAATCTCCAGCTGGACTCTGTTCTGTTCGGTTTCTTTTTCGCCGTACTCTTTAAAACACACAAATCTCTCTCGTGATGTTGTAATCAAATCAATCAACAAATCTCTCGAACGAAACAAAAATGGTTGAGCAAAAGAGATTCGCTCTGTTTCTAGCGACGTGCGATTCGACGTTCGTGAAGAAGACGTACGGAGGCTATTTCAACGTGTTCGTCTCCACATTCGGAGAAGAAGGAGAGCAATGGGATCTCTTCCGAGTAATCGACGGCGAGTTTCCGGAGGAGAAAGATCTTGACAAGTACGACGGTTTCGTTATCAGTGGTAGCCTTCACGATGCCTTTGGAGACGACGATTGGATCCTTAAGCTTTGTTCTCTTTGCCAAAAACTCGACGACATGAAGAAGAAGGTTCTTGGTATCTGCTTTGGCCACCAGGTTTGAGATTTTTTTCTGATTTGATTTGATCCGTTGGATTAATACATAATTAGAGATAAACCCATTTCTCCTTGAATCACTCAGGTTCAAGACTCTGAACTTACACTCTGCATTTCACAATCAAATTAAACAACTTTTTTGTTTTGATTGCAGTTTCTTTCGTCTTAAAGGAATCATCTTTAATCAAAATGTATTTCTTAATTGCATTTTCCAAGATTTAAGTTGTTGCATTTCAGTATTTCACAGTCAAATTAAACAACTTTTTTTTGCATTGGTTGCAGTTTCTTTCGTCTCAAAGGAATCATCTTTAACCAAAATGTTTATGTTAATTGCATTTTATTAGATTTTAGTTGTTGCATTTCACAATCAAATTAAACAACTTTTTTTTTTTTGCTTTGTTGACGGTTTCTTTCGTCTTAAAGGAATCATCTTTAACCAAAACGTTTAATGTTAATTGTATTTGATTAGATTTTAGTTGTTGCATTTCACAATCAAATTAAACAACTTTTTTTTTGCTTTCTTGACAGTTTCTTTCGTCTTAAAGGAATTATTTTTAACCAAAATGTATTTGTTCATTGCATTTGATTAGATTTTAGTTGTTGCATTTCACAGTCAAATCAAACAACTTTTCTTGCTTTGGTTGACAGTTTCTTTCGTCTTAAAGGAATCATCTTTAACCAAAATGTATTTATTAATTGCATGTTCTTAGATATTAGTTGTTTGCATTTCACAATCAAATTAAACTACTTTTTTTTTTGCTTTGTTTGCAGTTTCTTTCGTCTTAAAGGAATTAATTATCTTTAACCAAAATGTATTTGTTAATTACATTTTCTCATATTTTAGTTGTTGCATTTTCACACAATGTAACTTCCAAACATCTAGTGAATCTGTATCTAGAGACTTGGCATAGTGGATTCCTTCATTGGCTAGTTACATCGAAATATTGATGATTACCAAAAGTATCTTGAATGTAAAACCATTTGTGCAACAGTTTTTGATTCAAAAGATCCGGTGATGAATAAAATGATCCGTTCTCTCTTTGTTATTTGTGAAACCAGATATTGTGTAGAATCAAAGGAGGGAAAATCGGAAGAGCAAGTAGAGGTGTGGACATGGGACTAAGAAGCATAACAATGGCTAAAGACGCATCAAATTACTTTGGAAACCAGCTGGTCCCGAAATCGTTAGCCATTATAAAATGCCATCAAGACGAAGTTTGGGAGCTCCCTGAATCAGCCACATTGCTTGCTTATTCAGACAAATGCAGCATCGAGATGTGCTCATATGGGAATCACTTCCTCTGCATCCAAGGCCATCCTGAGTACAACAAAGAGATTCTTTTTGAGATCATTGATCGTGTCGTCAATATGAAGTTGATGGAGGTTTTGTTTGCTTATATTATCTCTTGTCCCATTGTCTTCAACGTTGAAAGTTCCAAGCTTTTTGAATGTTTTGTTTCCTTTTTTCTTTCAGCAAGATTTTGCGGATAAGGCTAAAGCAACGATGGAGAACGCAGAACCAGATAGGAAACAATGGCAAACTCTCTGCAAGAACTTTCTGAAAGGAAGATCCGAGCAAGTTTAATGTCTGTAGATCTTGATCAATAACGATTTGTAATCACAATGTTTTCAATCTATTTCTTAATGATAAGAAGAAAAAAGGGCAAATCACAAATAATCATTTTTATATTACAATATTTGGGCTTTATGAACACCCAAGCAAGAATACTTTTCAGAACAAAACAAAAATTGAATCTTTTTGAGTTGATGACTTCTTAGAGATTGTGTACAAGTAAAGAAAAAAGAATCCTTGCCTTTGCTAAGTTGTATCTTCAGCAATCAGCAGAGAAATCTGGTTCTGGAGGTTTCTGAAACTTCACCAATTCTAATTCTTTAGTTGGTGCAGACAAAGCCGATTTCGCAGTCCGGTTCTTGTGAACACTGCGAAGTGCATTTGCTGCAAACTTTGAAGCCAAGAACGTAGCTCTAATGCTATACGGACTTCCTCCTGCAATAACCGATGATGCTTCTTCTTCTTCTTCCTCCTCTTCTTTTCTAAGTTGCTCCAGTTTCTTCCTCTTTGTGTACCGTCTCCACGCTGCTTGTATAAAGCAAGCGGCCCAAGTCCTCCATTGCTGTGAATAGAATCTGAAAGTGTGTTGCACTTGTCTGCTATGTAGCCTCCTGAACTGACTCGCCACGAATTTCAGCTCGTCTGCTATCAAAGCGAAAGCTTCTACTTCGGTTAAGGCCTTTACAGTTCTTGTCGAGGAAGGAAGGTTAACACCAGATTTGGGATCAAGCGCCCATGTCAAAAGCTCGTCTCCACAGAAATCTCCTTCCTTAAGTAAACTACGATTGTAGAATCCACTTCTACCACCATCAGTGGTTACACTCTCGAGCCTACCACGGATTATGAAGAGCATCTCATTCACTGGATCTCCCTCACGAACCAAGAAAGACTTCTCAGTGAATAGACATGGCTTGAGCCGCTCACAGATTGCATCAAGCAACCTCTCATCCATGTTCTCAAACAACGGAACCTAAAGAAATATGAAAGTTAAAGACTTTCAAGAAGATGTTTAGTGGAGTGGGTTTAAGACCAAGAAACTTACTCTTCGTACTAAGGCGAGACAGAGATGACGTTTGATATCTCTTCTAAGATCCTTTGGGAGGTTCGAAACAAGATTCTCTTCATCGACTCCTCGTGTCTCTAACCACTTGTACTGGTCATATCGTCTGACCCGTTCTCGCAGTTGTGGTGGAAGCATTCGGTGATGCATCCATTGTTCTGAGTCGCGTCTTTTGACTCGCATTTCTTCTAACCGGATTGTAAGTGATTGAAGATAAGTCTGTTCCACAGATTATATCGTTTTCTCAAACTCACTCACGGAATCAATAGACATTAAAAGAAACCAAACAAGCTCTTTGTTTTTTGCTTTTTTACCTGCATGTTTCCAATGAGAAGGGCAAAGAGTAAAAGTCCAGCAATAGCAAGTGTTATGGAGAATATAACCTCTCCAGGGTATGTGCTAGTTTCAAGTCCTTGACCAAGTGTACTGCAGTTTCGACAACAATAGAAAGAGCACGAGGTTACTAAACCGGAGAGAAGACATCATAGCAGGATGGATTTTGTGTATTTACCTAAGATTCTGTAATCCCCACCACAAGCAGAAGAAGTATTTAGAGACAAAGTTCTTAGATGAGACGATGCCAGAGGAGAGAGCTCTTAAGTAGATTCCAAAATCAAAGGGAGGTTCCTCGCCATCAGTTACATTGACAGGACAATGTAGCTGAAGAAACGAATCTTTCATAGTGTCCCAAGCAGCATAACCTTTCATGTTTTGGTTACCACAAAACAAGAAGTTTCTGGTACATGTCTGGTTACCGTGGCAAGCTTTGCTCCAACAGTCGTTATTGCGTTCTAAGGCAAGCAAATACCACAAAGCCCCAACAATCTGCATACACACATACCATTTATAAGAACATATTGCTTCAAACAACAACAACCAAAAAAACGAAGATTGTATGGTACTGACATGGCTTGCAAGCATGTAAAGCAGCAAGTAATAAGCTGCACCAGCCCAAGCGGTTTCAGCAAATACACCAGCTGTTCTCTTCAATTCTGAGCTCAGAGGATACATACGTAGAAAACGCGGGATATATTGAACTAACACGATATATCTAAGTGCTTGTTTCGTTGCTAGAACACTTGCACCCCTCGACGTGTAGAGAAATCTCCAAACTATAATCTGTAAAAAGAACAAACTTGAACATAAACAAAGTATATTGGAAACTGGAGAGACTATTTATTCTGCTGCTATATACTTACCTGTGGAACGGGAAGCACGGAAAGCAAATCTATAATGAAGTACTGTTGCAAATACCGCTTAGCTATCTGTCCAGGGTCTATCACAAGCTCTCCTCGACCAAAAACTCGTGATGAGGGAGCAACATAAGCTGTTCTAAACCTGAGAGCCATGTGAAAGAGATAAAACGAATCTATGACTGTCCTTAACGTAGTTGCTACGATCGCCAGTTTCCTGTCTATACCAACGCATTTCACTTTGTCGTTGATGAACGGAAGATACAAGAAGAGAGGGTCCACGGATACAGCGAGGATGCAAGAAGCTACAAACAGCTTGTTGCAGAGCAAAAGAAACTTGTCTTGTGGATCGAATATCTTCTTCTCTGATACTTTGAGATCTTCAGGAAACACAGCACGTGAAACACCGAGTCCAATCGATCTGCCTATAGACCAAAGCCCCTCTGATCCTTTTCTAAATCCTTTCTTGAAAGATCCAGATGATGTTTTGCTTCCCTGAGCAAAACGTTTAGGTCCTTGTAGATTTAATGTGCATCTGTTCAGACCCGCATCAGAACTCTGAGAGTATCTAGAGTCCATACTATCCAACCTGTTCAAGTAAACCAAGAAAACTCAATATATTCGAATCTTGCTTTAAGTCTTGTATAATACAGATTCATCAAAGAAGCAGAAGAAGTTTAGCTATGTACCTCACAAACTTCTCCCGGTGGCCACTGATTACTTGAGATTTGACTCCATTTGTGCCACAATCAAACATACTCTTCTCTAAGATTCAACTCATGAATCCATAATCTGTTTTGAAAGAATTAACATAAAAATGAAACCTTTCAGTTAATTATTGGAGAAGTTACATATTTGGAACAAGAAAAATTGTTTTCTTCCCCAAATCAATGGATTGATCCCGAAATTAGGTTACTTGAAACTAGCTATGCTCCATCTATCATTGACCCGGATTACATATAAGAAAGATGGAGAAATTTCAAGGAAAATACTAAACTTAAAAATGAAAAACCAAAAACCAAAATTGAAACTTTAGCTACACAAAGTTTAAACAAATTCAGCTCTAGAATCCATAGAAAAGATAAAATCGAATCAACGTCGAATAATTGCAAACTTCATTTCCACAGTAGCAGAAACTGAGATCAAGAGGAACAAGAAGAAGAAGAAGAAGATGAAGAAGAGATTACAGTCGAATCTGATGGCGATGAAGAAGAAGAAGTAGAAACGGAAGCAGAAGCAGGAGAAGAGGGAGAAAGTTGTAAGAAACGGGCAGAGAAACAAGAAAGAAAGTGAACGTGTCTTCTGTCAAAATATTGACTTTCATATTCTTGCTGTTCGGGTCGGGTCCACCCGCTTCCTCTGCTGTCTACTAGGGCTGGAATTATTATCCGGTATCCGCTATTCGATCCGGTATCCGGTTCTATCCGATCTGTAAAAACCGGATATTCGTGTAGTTCGGATCCGGATCCGGATAGTGAAATTAAGTATTCGGTTATTTCGGATACGGATCCGGATAATAGAAAATTTTAAAATCGGATATCCGTTATCCGTTATCCGTTTATTAAGATTTTGAAAATTTTGAAATCTTTTGATATGCATTTAATTTTTTGTTTTAATTATGTTTGAAAATTGTTTTTGGTTTAACTCTTTTACACATGATTGAAATTTATATTGCATGATAATTTTCTATTTCAGATTGTGAGAGAAGACCATGAAAATAGATAACACAAGGATATGAAGATAAATTAACTTCTCTATTACTATTTTCTCTTTTGTTATGTAAACTTTTAAACTTTGTGTTATTTGAATGTTACTTGAATGCTTTTAAATTTTTGGTATTTGTAATTTTTGCTATAATGATACATTTTAATTATATATGTTATCTCATTATAATTTTAAAAATTGAAGTTTTTTTTTTAAATCAACGAAACCGGATATCTGATCGGATATCCGTAAATCTTCGGTTCAAACCGAATATTCGGTCTCTGGATATCCGGAGTTTTCAGATCCGGATCCGGATAATAAAATTGATTATCCGTCAAATCCGGAGCCGGAGCCGGATCCGGATACTTTGAAAAGTCCGGATATCCGGCTCCGTTCCAGTCCTACTGTCTACTCTTCTTCTCATCCTAAATTAAGTATCTTTTTTATTAATAAAACTTAAAGAATTAATAATATCTACGCTTTTTAATAACTATTATTTACAAAAAAAAAATATAGAAAACAACAATTGTGAATGATCAGAAGAAACTAGTTCTATAATTTGCTTAACTATCAATTTGGGAACTTGAAAATTGAAGTACTGAATATAGTTATCAAGTTGAAAAATCACACTAAAACTTTACCCACATTTAAGGGAAAAAATCTAAAGCAGTAATCTCAATATTTTAATTTTTAGCTCTTGTTTGTATCTTTTTATGCTTTTTAATAAAGAATGTAATCTATGTTTTTAATTTGTTCTAGCTTCTTTATGATTGTTTCTTACATCTGAGGGTGATTTGTCAATTACAATTTGTTATTATAAATTTAGATCTTTTACCAAACATAGTTAAATAAAATACAATCAATCTGTTCAAATGTTCACACAAGAGTATAATTAAAAGATTTATGAATTTCCAAATCCGAGAAGGTGAAGTATTAATTATTAATCAACATAAAAATAATTTACAAATGTATTAACTTTACTAAAGTAAAATTTTTATAAACTAATAATGGATGACAAAAAAAAAATATAAACTAATAATGTTGAAATTATAATATTTCTTATTTCATAAAAATTTAAATATAGATATTTTTTAACTCTATAATCTTTTAAAATTTAAGATGCATTTATAAGTTGGGAAAACTCCGTAGAGATCATTGTATTCATAGGAGGACTATATATACAGAGTACATGAGTCTATTATAATATAAGAGATATACACAAAGTAGATTTGTATCTATCATATCTTTCTGTATCTTAACTATATCGAGATTGCATTTTATCTAAACACTCCCCCTCAGTCGAAGCGGCAGGAGAACGAACGCTTAGACTGTTCCGAAAATCCAGGAATAATGATGAGGAGAGTCCCTTTGTGAACACATCTACATATAGCTGATTTGAAGGGACATGAAGGACACATACATTACCAAATTGCCACTTTTTCTCAAACGAAATGTATATCAATTTCCACATGCTTAGTTCTTTGATGTTGGACTGGATTAGATGACAAGTATATGGCATAAACGTTGTCACAATAGACAATTGTTGCACGTTGCAAGGGGATATGCATTTCCATCAAGAGGTTACGAAGCCATGTTGTTTCTGCGACCGCATTTGCAACACCACGATACTCTGCCTCAGCGCTCGATCGCGAGATAGTTGGCTGGCGCTTAGAAGACCATGAAATAAGGTTATCTCCGAGAAAGACACAATAACCAAAAGTAGAACGACGAGTGGTTGGACACCCAGCCCAATCTGCATCAGAATATGCTATCAAACCAGAAGAAGTAGACCGGTGAAGTCGAAGACCATGCGTAATGGTGCCTTTAACGTAACGGAGAATTCTCGTAAGGGTCGAAAAACAAGTTTCCCAAGGGTCATGCATAAACAAGCATATCTGTTGAACAGAAAAGGCAATATCTGATCTGGTAAACATCAGATATTGAAGAGCTCCTGCCAAGCCACGATAGAGAGAGAGAGATCAGAAACAGGTATACCATCAACGGCAGCAAGCTTCATCTTTGTATTGGCTGGTGTGAGACAAGGTTTGCATCCAGTCATTCCTGTACGGTAAATTATATGTGCAGCATAATGCTGTTGATGGAGAAACAGCCCTTTAGCATCACGTTGAACCGAAATACAAAGGAAGTGATGAAGATAGCCAAATTCAGTCATGTCAAATTCAGATCTCAGATCAGAGATGATGCGCGTCAAAAGGCTAGTGTTGGAGGCTGCAAGGACAATGTCGTCCACATATAAAAGTAAATATGCAACTTCAGATTGGCGGTGGAGAATGAGAGAGAGGCATCTGAGTTGCTTTGCTTGAATCCAATAGTTTTTGCAAACGTAGCAAATTAGTTGTACTATACCCGTGGAGCTTGTTTTAGACCGTAAAGAGAACGCTTGAGAAGGCAAACATGATCTGGGTTTGATGGATCGACGAACCCGGGAGGCTGATGCATGTAAACTGTTTCTTCGAGATTACCATGAAGAAATACATTTTTAACGTCCAATCGCGAGAGGTGGCAACACGTAGAACCGTACGAATCGTGGCCGGCTTAACGACCGGGCTGAACGTCTCATCAAAATCGATGTCAAGTTTACGAGATCTTCCATTTGCCACAAGTCGAGCTTTGTAACGAGAAAGTGTGCCATCCACATTAAATTTGTGCCTGAATAACCACATGGAACGAATAATGTTAGTAGCAACTGGTCGTGGTACCAAACTCCACATCCCATGTTTAATATGAGCATCATATTCCTCATTCATTGATTGGTTCCAATTTGGATCCTTAGCAGCCTGAACATGTGACAGAGGTAATGGAGAAATTGTGACGTCAGAATGAAGACACTATGGAAGTCGTGGTTTAACGATACCACTTTTGCTGTGAGTGACCATAGGATGAGTAAATTGAGTCATAGGAGGAGAAATGGAAGGAGGAACATTATTTGGAAGAGGAGTACAATGAGATATAGGAGGAGGAGATAGAAAAATAGGAGGAGAAGAAGAAGGATGACTTACAACCTGAGGTGGGATCATTGAGAATGGAAAGGAAGCTTTATCGAAAGTGATGTGACGGGAGAGTATCATCTTACGGGTTTTCATGTCAAGGCAACGATAGTCTCGATGATCCGTCGGATAGCCAAGAAATGTGCATAGAGTGTATCGCGGAGCAAGCTTGTGTTGAGTCGATGAGAGAAGATTTGGATTTCACAAGCTCCAAAAGTTTTCAGATGAGAATAACGAGCTTCCGTCTTGAATAGTTTGGTGAGTGGGACATTATTCTCAATCGCCGATGATAGAAGTATGCTCAAAAGGTGAACGGCAGCGTTGAGAGCTTCCACCCAGAATGTAAGTGGCATTGAAGCTTGGAGAAATAAGGTGCGCACCAGGTTGTTGATAGTCCGGAGCATACGTTCGAGATGTCCATTTTGTTGGGAGGTGTATGGACATGAAAACCGGATTGATGTTCCTTGGGACACCAAGTAGTTTTTAAATGCCTGATTATCATACTTTCCACCATTATCACACTGTAGTGCTTTGATTTTGCAATTAAATTGAGTCTGCACATAGTTAGAAAATGCACATACTTGCCAAACGTGTTACTTTTACGAAAAAGCGGATAAACCCAGACAAAATGAGAGAATTGATCAAGAAAAATCAAATAATACTTAATCCCACTAACACTTAAAATAGGAGAGGTCCAAATGTCGGAATAAACTATGTCAAAAGGATGAGAAACAATGCTAGTAGAAGAGAAAAACGAAAGCCTAGTGTGTTTATCCAGTTGACATGCTTGACACAATGTTGTCAAGTCAGTCTTATTGCAAGAAATAGAAAGAGAAGAAAGAACATGTTGAATAACTTGATCATTTGGGTGACCCAGTCTTCGATGCCAAAATGAACTATCGATTTGAGAAGTGGCTAAAGCGAGAGAATGATGACTAGGAGGTGACGGAGTGAAGGAGTATAGGGGCCTAGGACTGTTACATCGGAGAAGCTTGGTATGATTTTGAAGATCCTTAATAGTGAAACCAAAAGAGTCAAATTCCAGTGAGGAAAAATTATCAGTAATGACATTTTTGATTATAGATGGGCAAACAAAAACATTATGAAAATGAAATGGGCGAGAAGGAGAGTATAAAAGTCCATGACCAGATGTTGTCACAGTCTCACCGGATCCGTTACCAACAGTGACCGAGGGCAGATTGCTCAAATTAAAAATGGAACGAAGAATACATGGATCAAAGGTGATGTGGTTTGTGGCACCTGTGTCCATGTACTATGATGCCTCGCTGGGATCTTGAAGTGTCATTGTGTTGAAAGCTTGAGTGATATTAGCTGGAAGCATCGTAAGTGGCGTCGCTGCTTGTGGAGGTAATTAATGATGCTGATGTGTGAATGGTGTGGGCTTCACTGTTGGGCCTGAAAGGGGAAGCACCAAGAATACCAGCTTACATCATATTATTTTGAGCCGAGAAATTTTGGTTTGGGCCCATTGAGTTAAATGGATAACTGTGGTACGGAGTCGGTGCATGGATGAACGCCAGCGGCCACTGTTTACCAAATTGCCAGTGTTGAGAGTAAAACGAGGAGAGTCAGTTGCTGTTGTTCCTTCCACGTCCACGGTTGTTTCGGCATCCACGACCACGACCTCTGTTACCACGATAGTAACCATTGTTGTTGTTGTTGAATCCACCATTATTGGTGTCAGCGAGGCCATCAGTGTTGTTGTTGGAGACATCACGATTTTGTTGTTGGTTTGCGGTGGTGTATAGAATTGCAGGAGCAGAGGCGGTGTTGTTGTTGACCGAATTTGGTTTGATCTGCCTATTGAGGCGGTCTTCTTCCATTGTTAGCATCGATCGAGCTTCAATAAAGCCAGGGAATGGAGATCTGTGTTTGATAACATTAATTATGTTATCGAATTTGTCAGACAGACCGTTGAGAAGGTGCATGATGAGGATACATTCAGTGATGGGATTGTCGAGATTGGTGAGAAGATCAGACAGCGATTTGAGCTTTTTGTAATAGTCGTAAATAGAGAGGTCGCCAATCACTGTTGTGCGAAGCTCGCTTTCAATTTGTGTGGCACGAGCTTCAATATTGTCTCTGAAGAGACTCTCAATTTACAGCCATAAATCATAAGCGCTGCTCTTTGGTTTAAGGACAATGTCGAGGATTAATTCAGATATGGTTTCGTAGATCCACATCTTAACCAAACCGTCATGCTCTTTCCATTCCTTTTTGGTATCAGGGGTTGAGGATGAGGTTCCATCGAGATGCCCGAAAACCTTAAAACTTGAGCAGTGAGTTTCAAAGAGCTCTCGCCACGCCTGATAATTCAATTTCGTCATATCAAGAGTGATGGGGATGTATGCTTTGATTTGGGATATGCCAAATGACTTATCATTGGAGGAAGGTGCAGCGTTGGCCATGGTGAGAAAATTGAGATCGAAGAGAAGGGAAAGAAGAAAGAGAATAAGAGATTATAGAAGAGAACGGAAAAGGATTGATCACTTAACTTGAAAGCTAGATTAAGCGTCTGATACTATGTAAGTTGGAAAAACTCTATAGAAATCATTATATTTATAAGAGGACTATATCTACAGAGTACATGAGTCTATCATAATATTAGAGATATACACAAAGTAGAGTTGTATATATTGTATTTTTCATATCTTAACTATATCAAGATTGGATGTTATTTAACAGCATTATCGTACAAGATTAGAACATATTGTTCTAAAATGATATAGAGTATACTCCACGAAAAATCAATGTTTTAGATGCTATTAATCATAAGGTCTCGGTTTGGAAAGTTGATGTTTATCAAAAGACATATGAAAGAATTTAGGAGATGAATTCACTTGTTGATATTTATGAACTAGAAGTTATATTACTAGTTTATGTATAAGTTCTATATACAATAATTATATAGAAATTTTAGAATAACTATAATTTTATTATTTTACCAAATAGTGTTATCTATTTTACTAGCCCAGTTCTATTATTTATCGTTTTTATTAGAATATATCAAGTGTGAATTTTATAGACGTTTTGTGACTTATTGGTTTATACTTTATACAAGTTTCGCTATCATGTTATAATCTGAATTCAAGTTCCGTTTTTTTTTTTTTTTGTCATCATTCCGTAGTCTATGTAAGCACTATTATTTCTCTGTGAATCACTCACTACTCTAGAAAATCCATTAATTTATGTCAAATGTCCCGTGAGAGAACCCGATCAAAATCTAGGTGATAATAAAACTGTGGTAGGTGGTGGGTATCATCAACTATTGAAAAGTTAGATGAATTGACTCAATGGTAAAGGTTTAATACTTTTATATTCGGTATGTGGTTTGATTTGTATAGAGTACATTTTTCTGTAGATATGTAAGGATTATCGGAGATTTTACGTATTATAAGTAAAATCATCCGATCTCATGCATCAAAGGTAAAAATATTTATCGTGATGTGATATAAATATAATCGTCCATCGTGGATTTGTATATTGCAGGTGAAGAACTGTGTGGAGTCTTCTATAAACTATTTGTTGTAATTAGATTGGATCGATTAATTATCACTTCTATTAGGGATAGCTTTTTAAAATCAATAAAACAATGATCAGTCATATATATATATATATATATATATATTCTTTACCAGTTATACAACTAGTGAAATATTTATAGGACAGTTTCAGGTACCAAGATGATTAGACATTGCTAGGAAAACAACTGATACAATTTATGTGTAGAATAAATTGTTGACAAGAAACAAAAAATACTGCAAATTAATTATTAGTAAATGTCAAATATGACATGAACTCAGATAATAATTATTCTCTAACATAGATTTGGTTGCATAACAAAGATTTCAAACTTAAACCAAAGCGAGCCCAATGAGAGCAACAAAGGCCCAGAAGATGCCACTTCCAGCAACCAACCCACCGGCAGTGTTGTTGGACGGACCTGGTGCCGGAGCCACCGGAGCTGCCGGAGGAGTAGGTGGCTTTGAAGAAGGAGTCTCCGGTGTAGCTGGAGAAGTAGGTGGCTTTGAAGAAGGAGTCGCTGGTGCAGCTGGAGTAGTAGTCGGTGGAGCAGGACGGGGTGCGTATTTGGACGCAATTACCCTGACGATCACTTTCTCACCTTTAACGCAATTATCATGAACTCCACTGATGAAGTAGTTTGGACCTGAGTTATCAAGTTTCACGATGGTGTTTACATGTTTGTAAGACTTTAATGGCTTTTCTGCGTTGCAGGTTTCGAAGTGTTCTTTTGTCACTTCTAACACCGAATCAACGTTGGAATCATATTTGAATTCTGTCACATGCAAAAATAAAAATGCTTAGTTTTATGATACTTTCTTACAAACCTACGTATTTTACAACAAGAATAATAACCAAACATACGTAATTTATCTCTCTCGAATACCATGAAAAAAACAAAAATCAAATATCTCAAATAATTAAAATTCTATCAAAGATTATTATTACTAAATCTAGAAATAAACGGAAAGGAAACAACTTGACAGAAATAAACATAATATATGCAAAACGTGAGAAAACATAACTTAATATGACTAAATCATGTTTTATTCATATATATATATATATATATATATATATATATCAGAAATTTCCCCTTTAATGGGAGCCCTTTACAATTACATCCTAAATTGTGTCCATAACCGGCTCTGACTAAAACACTCAAAATCAAATGTGGATAATCAAACTTGTCATCAAAAGTATCTATTAATTAGTTTGGTTTCTAAAATTTTTAACCTCTAATAATCAAATCCACACTCAAAACTCCCAAAATCCTGATTGACCATTCCAGCCATGACTAAGAGTGAATCCAACGACAACAGAAAACCCTGATCTACAATATCATCACGAAACTATATAACATTAAATAAAAATTTGATGACTCGTTTATAAAAGAAATCAAAACGGTTTGATGGTAAGAATCGCCATTAACCCAAGAGCCATAATATAATTTAAATAATTTGAAGACCTTTAACAAACAAAAAAAAAAGATATAATTTGAAGAAAGAAATAGATTTGTACCGAGGACGTCTCCGACTAGGAACCGTCCATGATTAGCCCAGTCGATGAGACTGTTACTGTTGTTCGGGGTTAGTGCTGGAACCTTCCATCCAAGATCTCCTCCCACGATAAATGTTCTGGACTCACCAAGGTGGTAGAATGTCGTAAATAAGAGAAATACTAGAGGCAAAGTGGTAATCAAAGACGCCATATTTCTTCTTCTTCTCCTCCGTCTTCTTCTCTCAAATATTTGCCGTTATGGTTTAGAGCTAAATGGTTTTTATAAAAGGGTCGGAGAATACGGACAAGATTTGAGGTCAAATATGGTCTTATAGAAATGTAATATAATCTTCTCAATTAGACAAGTAATTATCACTTTCAATCTCATTTGGATTGTTTTCTTATTCTATATTAAAATATACTTTTTCTTTATTTAAAGGCATATAAAGAAAATCTACATTTTTCTCAATAAATTTTACCCTTTAAGAATTAAATCACTTTTCAGTACAATATAATTTGTTAACATACAGAACAATTACTTAAACTTGACATATACTCAGTAAATTAAAATCTTAAATTTTTAATGACAAAAATATTAGTATTACGATATATAACTAATATAAAAAAATGATTCGCGCGACTTTAAGCTTTGTGACGTCATGTAAGAATTCTAACTAGGAAATCTCTAATAATAAGATCCTAGGAGATACGAATTAAAAGTAAATAGATATGTTCTTCCAAGACAATGGTTTTATTTATTTTTATTAATTAATAAATTATACTTCAAACCATATAGCTTTTTTCTAGAGAAGTTACAATCTAATACTCTTATAGTAAAGAATAAAACCATAATTAGCAGTATTACAAAATAGTTTCCACTAAACCGCTCAAATTTATTTAATATGACTATATCTCTATTGTCGTGTACTACTAACATTACAAAATCAAGACATAGTTAGATTTTGTGTCAGTAGAATTAATACATACATCGATACTAAAAAAGTTTTCTCTTAATTTTAAGAAATTTCTTGCATTTGAGAAATTCGTAGAGATCTTGATTCTGCCATTGATGGCAAGAAAGAGGTTCTCTCTTTTCTCTCTCGCCTTTTATGCTTTTTACTAAGCTCGCAAGATTACGTAAACTTGCCATAGTTGCATATAATTTCCCAGTACAAAATAGATAATCTCAAGAATCTGAGATTCGGGCGAAAAGAGCATAGATAATCTCAAGAATCTGAGATTCGGGCGAAAAGAGAAAGAGAGCGGTGGGAGAACGGAATATTATCACCGGAAAACACCACGCGTAAATATGGTTGGTAGATAAACGATACTAAAGTTTTTATTAGTTGGATAATAATATATGAGTATGAGTAATTACATTTGCTCGAATGTAAGATTAGTTGGATAATAATATATGAGTATGAGTAATTACAGTTTGTGTAATCGATGGTCCAACATTAGTTATACGAATCCCTTGTATCAATCCTTTTTGTTCAGCGTTTACCATCATGAAACTTAGCATATTTGCATGAATATAGAATGAACAAGGATTAACACTGAATTTCTCCGTTATATTTTTTTCTTCCTTAATTCTCAAAGTATTTTTTTTTATGTTGATTATATTTAGCGATTGTTCACATATTGAAACGATTTGACTATACTTGAGTTTTAGCTATTTGCCAAATTGGACATGACAACACTAGCGTAGTATTGACCGAAATAAAACGCTATAAACACTAATCCAAAATACTTTTTAGTAATATTAGTGATGATCGCAATAACAAAATGATAATTGTTAAATAAAAACCACTAATTTTATTTTAATACTTTTACATTATTTTAAAATTGTCAGTTGAGTAGCCATTAAGTAATGTGTTACTTATTAATCTATTTCTGATTGTTGAAAGAAACAAATTCATGCATTGAAAGTATATATATAGGTTTCCTTTTCTTAACTCTAAATGATGGAGTCTATATATAATTTTAACAATCACCATATTTTAGCTCAAAAATATTGATTAGGACCACGCATAATTGGATACGGTATATTTGAAATTAGGAAATCATAAACTCGTCAAAATGGTACATTAGTATATATTATATCTCTAAAGAGGGAGAAAGAGAGAGGTTCACATTGTGTAATGAATGACTCAGCAAAACACATTACATGAGAACCTCCAAAACTCCATCTATCCATCCTCATGTCTCTTCCACACATGACACAAATATAAATACTAATATACATAAATACGCATATAACATATATTTATATATATATATATATAGATATAAATTAGTGGTAGCAACCCGTCCTTCTCCATTCTATTGGTCTAACGAAAGCCATTGAAGAAAAGCAGAGACGATAGTGAAAGAGTGAAAGATAGAGAAATGGCAAGAACACACTTCATCTTTCTTGTACTAATGTTTTCATCATCATCATCATCATCATCATCGCCACCATCATCATTATCATTATCACGAGAGCAAGAGGAAGACAGGATCCAAGCACTTCCAGGGCAACCAAAAGTAAGATTCTCACAGTTTTCGGGTTATGTGACAGTGAACGAGTCACACGGTCGATCACTCTTCTACTGGCTCACTGAGTCATCTTCTTCCCCTCACACCAAACCACTTCTTCTTTGGCTCAATGGAGGTTAGATGCTTTTATATGTCCCCGCTTATATATATAGATATAAATATATATATATATATATATTATATATATATATATTCACACAGTCATGGATCTCTAGTGTATCTTTACAAGTTTGGTGTTATATATCTTGCCTGTGATAATTGTCTCAATGTGACATATTCCTTTTTTTTTGTAAAAATGAAAGACTTTCTTTATAATTTATTTTTCAACAGTAGTTTTAGTCCGAACATCTATTAAAACTCGAACCAAAATATGTTTCGACGAATGAGTCTATCTCCAAATATACTTTGAGTCTTTGATCTTTAGTTGACAAACTAAACCTGGTTCCCACTTATTGAAGTGTTACCTTGTTGATTTAGTTTTAGGCCATGATTCGATTTTCCTCAAATGTGAAATTATCTAAAAAACCACTCTCATTTAACTAGTCTATCATGTTTCAGACCTATTCGAAAATTCCGTTAGTAAACTACTTGATGGCTACAATCATTATGGAAGAATTAGCCAGGTGATTAAAGTTAGAATTATCCATAAATATATAAAAAAGACAAACTAAACAAAAAAATTATGGACTTTATAATTTCCTCTCAAACACACACTACAAGAAAACAAGGTCATTTTCGACGGAATTTCCCACGGTAATATTCCGTCGGAAATTATCGACGGATTTATGACGAGGTTTTGACGAAAATGATATGCGTCGGAAATCCGTCGGATATTTCCGACGGAATATAATTCGTAGGTAATTCGTCGGAAATTTCCGACAACTTTTCGAGGACAAATTCCATCAGTAAAAATTCCGACAAAAATGTGACGAATTTTAGATGGATATTCATGTCCGTCATTTTCCGTAAGAGTTCGGTCGGAAATTTCCGAGGACTTTCCGACGACAAATATCGTCGGACCAATTCTGATGGAATTCCGACGGATTTCTGACAACTATGTTACATTTATCCCACATCGGCTGGCAAAAAGGAGAAAGATAACTAAAGTGATCTATAAATATTCACACTTGCTCGAAAAATTATCAAGTGAGCTTTCTCAAATGCTCAAAGGCTTGGTTAACAGTTAAAAATTTAATAATTTTAATTGATTAAAAATTGATATTAAATCAATTTGTTTGACCAATTTGGTCCTAGTCGCAGAACAGTTGCGGAAGCGGGTATTTAATTGCTCAAGTGCATGTGTTTTTGAACACAGATAAAAAATCTATCTATAATGTCTTCTTCAGTTTCTTATAATTATTTTCGATCATGGATGGATAAGCCTTATCAAATTCCAGGTACGGGTCTTATTACGGAAGAATACAAACAAGGGATACAACAATTCATGGCATTTGTGAGTATGCAAAAAAAAGCCAAAAAATCTGGTAAAATATATTGTCCATGTACTAATTGTCAGAATCCTAGATCAGTCATAATAGACGAAGTATGGTCACACCTGTATTGTAGTGGGTTTGTACCGGGTTACAAAGTTTGGTACTATCATGGAGAAAATGATTCAATGGTTAATTATGCTAATACTAGTGAACAATATATCGGAGATAGTTTAGAAGAACCTGCAATAGAAGTAAAAGATGTAGGTCATGTTGAAATGAGAAACGTTGGTCACGTTCAGATGGTGAATGATGCATTTCGTGAAATTATACCATCAACTGCGGAGTATGCAAATAGAGGAGAAGAACCTAGTTTAGAAGCTCGGAGGTTCTTTGATATGTTGGACGCTGCTAAAAATCCGTTGTATGCTGGTTGTAAAGATGGACATTCCCCTTTATCAGCTGCAACTAGGATGATGGGTATAAAGACGGATTTTAATTTGAGCGAGGAATGTGTGGATGCAATAGCTGATTTTGTGAAAGACATTTTACCGGAAAATAATCTTGCACCAGCATCATATTATGAAATAGAGAAACTTGTTCGTGGTCTTGGATTGCCGTATCAGATGATAGATATGTGCATCGATAACTGTATGCTATATTGGAGAGAGACTGTAGACCGTTCAACATGTTATTTTTGTCGCAAGCCTCGGTATAAGGATACATGGGGAAGAGTGCGAGTCCCACATAAACGAATGTGGTACTTACCGTTAACAGAGAGACTGAAGAGGTTATATCAATCAGAGCGTACGGCAAGTGCAATGAGATGACATGCAGAGCACACCTCGGATGGAGAAATTGCTCATCCCTCAGATGCAAAAGCATGGAAACATTTTCAATTCATTTATCCCACTTTTGCGTATGAGGCAAGGAACATATATCTTGGATTATGTACGGATGGTTTCAACCCGTTTGGAAAGCATGGAAGACAGTATTCGTTGTGGCCAGTAATTGTAACACCTTATAATTTGCCACCATCTCTATGCATGAAACGAGAGTTTTTGTTCCTTACCATTCTCGTTCCTGGACCAGAGCATCCAAAGAGAGCATTTGATGTGTTTTTGCAGCCACTGATTCATCATCTATCTAACAATTTTATAATTTTTTTTAGGAAATTCGAAAAGTGAAGGGCAGATTTGTCGGGTTAGGCGGACTCCCGAGCCAAGAGTCTTCTTCTTCAAGTTATTATGCCCCATCTGCAAACTACAAAGCTGACATAGATAAACTATCTCTAACGGTTAGAGAACGTGATGAGGAGGTTGCAGAGCTTAAGGCCGCTAACCAGTCAACCCAACAAGAACTATCTGATCTGAAAGCCGTTTTGAAAACCGCATTACCTAATTTCTTTAAATAGTTATGTTTTAAAATTTCCAAAACTATTGCTAGTTTGTATTTTTTTAAATCAAATTTCATGTTTTTAGAATTTTTAGTTTAATTAATATTTTTAAATGTTTATTAATTGTTTAAAAATAATAAATAATAATTTTAAATAATTAATTGCGAATTATGTATATATCTGTATTTTCAAAACAATATTTATAATGGTCACAAATCCGTTGGAAAAAGTTTGGTCACAAATCCATAAGAAACGTTTCGTCGAAAATTTGTAAGAAAAACTCTATCAAAAATCCGTAAGAATATATTTCGTCGGAAATCCGTAGGAATGCATTTCGTCGGAAATTCGTAGGAATGCAGTTCGTCGGAAATTCGTAGGAATGTATTTTGTCGGAAATTCGTAGGAAATAACCGACCTCAAGGTACCGTGGAACAGTCATCGGTTTTTCGTCGGTAAAATTTCGCCACGGGAGAACGTCGGTAGGTTGTCGGAAAAGAATTCATTGGTTTAGCGTCAGAAATATCCGACAAGATTCCAACGACTACAATCCGTCGGAATATTCCCACGACTTTCCAACGGATGCATATTTCCGACCAGCTCAAACCGACGGAATTTATTTTGTGGCAAATCCGTCGGAAACGGTCATTTCTGACGGATTTCCTATGGATGTAGTCGTCAGAAATGAGCTGTTTTCTTGTAGTGACAATCCTATATTCCTAAAGGCTAAATCCTCGTAAACGTTGTAAACGGAACACGTCAAATCTCATTATTCTTAGTTAGACAAAACAAAACTAAAATTTAAAAATACCAATACTTTATGTCTTATAATTATATTTCAATTGTGATTAAAGCAAATTAATGTCCACCAAAACAACATCAACAACCCAATATGACTCTCATAAGTGAAACATGCTATTGTTGTAAGAAAAACAAACAAAGGTAAGCCTTTAAAAACTAAACATAGTGCTTTTACCTTTTTTTTTCCTTTCCCTTCAATAGTATAGATTATTCCCATCCTGCGAGCATTTTAGCAACAATCTACATTTCTCACTAAAATAGGCCTTAAGGAATATTTGGAATATACTCTATCACTCATGCCAACATATAGAATCTAATACTAAAAAATAAAAATTCGATCATGCGCATGATTACGACATAAAGTATTAATTCACTATCTTTTGCACGGCGCCTCCTAAACTTAATTTTTTCATATACAAACAAAAAACCCATGTAGCAACCTTTGTACAATCGTAATAAAGGGAAAACATGAACAATAATATAGGGAAAACATGAACAATATATTTTAGAAAATAAATGATTTGATTAACATTAATAAGTCACATGAACCCGCGTGTAAAAGCACAATAGTATTGGTCTAACTTCTAAGACCAGAGGCGTGAATTAGTTAGAATTCAATGTTTGATTTTAGTTTATGTAAATTTTGCGTATGGATCAGTTGGTAGCTTACATTTCAATTTGGATGTTATATCCATAGTAGGTTTCCTGGAAACTTCTTACCAAAGGGTCTACTTATGTCTGTAATTAGTTGGTTGGCTTAGTGAAATCCGGATATTTAGTGTACATTCTTAAAAAAATTTAGTAAGTCATGTGTAAACTTCAAGGTTGCTCTTTGTCCAAAAAGAAAACTTCAAGATTGCTATTGAAAATATTAAATAAAGAAAGAAACATAAATAATTTTCTTAATCACTGAAATATTTTTGAACCATTTCTAAATTCTAACAAAAAAATCATTATAACATTTATTTAAGAGAATTACTAACTAAACAAAAGCCGGCAGAACTTAAAGTAGGGACATTCGATGATCCTGATTATATATATATATATATATATATATATATATATGTGTTGTGTGTGTATATTTAGTCGCAGGACCACAAAGAAAAGGATAGCATCTATGTAAACTACAATCTAGCTCACTTAACACTTTCAAAGATCGACTTTTCAACTAATTTTTCTCTCGCCTTTTGACATTCGGTAAGAAAGCACGACAAAAACATGCAAAAAAGGCTCACTGCATTTAAAAAATAAAACTAAATGAAGAGTATTTTTCGTTTCTCTGAATGACATAGAAGAAAAATGTTGATTTTTAGACAACCAAATTCAGCCATTTTAGAGAAAGATGGATTGCAAAATCTTAAATAAGTTATTTATTTATTGGGCATTTAAAAAAAAAAATTAGGTCGATTCCACCTAACTTTTCAAACAAATATCATGTTATTTTTTTCAGTAACACATTATACATTATAATATGCAATATATTAAAATCACATGCGAATAACACATATATAATTTACAGTTTTGCCACGATGTGGTCTTTTTCTTAATGCCAATTTTAGATATTTAACAAATGAACCATATAAAATGTTTATATTGTACGTGGAAGAATGTCACACGTAAAAAGAAACATGAGCTAATCCAATTATTATCACTTCGTTATGAGTTTTAGTTCCATAAAATTTAATATTATATTTAAACTCGAACACACGTTGCCATAACTCGATCTAGTATCAATTCATCCAGAAAGTGGCCAATATACGATTACCAATTGAACTTAAGTTGAAAGAGTACAAAACATTCAACATCATGATATTCGTTCATATGATTTTGTATGGAAAATTATTACTAAATATGTGTATGATATTCAAATAATATGATGATACGTTATATGTAACTAAATCCGCAGGACCAGGCTGCTCATCGATTGCTTATGGAGCTTCAGAAGAAATTGGACCGTTCCGAATCAACAGTACCGGTTCAAATCTCTATCTCCACAACTTTTCTTGGAATACAGGTACTCACTAATTTAATTTCGATCAGTTTCTATTTCGTTCTTTAGCTATAAAGTTATATCGTTTTACAACTGTCTCCCACTATATCAAAATTAATCTTATGAAAAATCTGTTTCTGAGTAATTTTGATCATACACAACTATCTAACAAAAAGTGTAATAACAGAGGCAAACCTTTTGTTTCTGGAATCGCCCGTTGGAGTTGGATTTTCATACACTAACACAAGCTCCGATTTAAAAGAATCTGGAGACGAACGTACAGGTCAGATTAATTTATATATTTATTCATATTCACAAAGATTTTGTTAACCACTTGCCCTATTAGCAATCGAGTTTCAATGGATATACATATTTGACCACTACAAAATTCACTTGACAATTTAATTAAAATTTTCAAAGTTTGTCTAGAGACCAACAAGCGTAATAGTTACAACTAAATACTATTACATAAAATATTTATAATTTTGTTATGATTGAGAGAAACTGATTCAATAATCGTGTGCTGCAGCTGAAGAAAATTTGATATTTCTTATTAAATGGATGTCAAGATTTCCCCAATACCAATATAGAGATTTCTACATTGCTGGTGAAAGCTACGCTGGTATGTCAATATGTCATATACACTTTGGAGATAGGGGTGGCAAAAAAACTATAATAAAAAAAAAACTTAATCGAACCAATGTTTATAATCGACTGGTTTTATTAATTGCAAAACTAAGAAACCAAAACCGAAAATATTGAAACCAAAATTTTTGTCACTACAAGAAAACACTAGAAATTCTGAGAGTAAAAATTTGGGTTGGTCATATTCCAATACTAAACTGACAGACGGCAACAAATCATCAGTATTTTGTCGGATATTTTAGAAGAAAAATATCCTACCCAAAATTTTGTAGAAAATTTCTAAAATAATTTTTTTTAGAATTTGTTTTTCAAATATGATCTGAAATTTCCAGTGAAGATATTTCTCTAAATTTGGCCGCTCAAGTTGTAGGAAAATGGTAAGAATACACTATGAACATGTACTCAAATCAATCTGAACCGAACAATTGAAATTTATTTGAAATTATCTTTTTATTATACATACAAAATTAAAAATATATAATCAGAAAAGATAAATTAGATTTGTTTTTTTATATACCCCTAAGTTGTTTTACTGACTAAAAAGAAAACTGAATCAAACCAAAATTTGTTCATTCGAACTGGAATCAAAGTAATTTACAAATGGTTTTTTGATGGTTTAATTTAGATTTTATAAAATTAATAAAACAGGAAATTAAAAAAACTCCAACCGTGAATAAACCGTAAACCGGATTGCTCACCCTACTAGAAGCAATTCAGCTTCTATAATGGTTTTTAATTAACCTGGTTAAACCATTTTATTTTATTTTCAAAATTTTATATAATTTAGGCTCTAATTTGTGACCAAATAATGAAAAAGAATAATAAAATTCCTCATCAGTCTTTAAAAATATACCATTTATATAGAATTTATTTATACACATTCCTCTTAATTCATCAAAAAGTACATCACTTATAAAAAAATATTTTTTACACACTATTCTTTGTCATTTCTTCATTTTTAGAAGATGATTGAATAAAAATATTTCTCACCAAATTTGATAAGGAATAATAACGAAAATACATTCCCATTATTTTATTTCTCTTCATTCCTTTCATATTTATTCATATTATTTCTTTAATGACCAACAATTAAAACTTTAATGTCTGTTTTTACAGGGCATTATGTTCCTCAACTTGCCAAAAAGATCCATGAGTACAACAAAGCATGCAACAAACCAATCATCAATCTCAAAGGATTTATGGTAAAACCGTTTATGTTTGAATCTATTTATCACATTTCAAGAACTATTACTCTACATTGGTAATAACAAGAACTCTCCTTGAAGGTTGGAAACCCAGAGATGGATAAAACCAATGACAAACTAGGGACCATAACGTATTGGTGGTCACACGCAATGATCTCCGACGCTTCTTACAATTCAATCCTCAAAAACTGCAACTTCACGGCAGAGAGATTCACCAAAGAGTGCGATTCCACCATTTACGACGCTGCGGCAGACTTTGGAGACATCGATCAGTACAGCATCTACACACCCAAGTGTGTACCAAAGTTTATAGGGAATAAGCAAACGCACAAAACGTTACTACCTAAGCCGATTTTAGATGAGTACGACCCTTGTACCGAGAGCTACGCCGAGATATACTATAACCGTCCCGAGGTACAACGAGCTATGCATGCTAACCGTACCGCCATTCCTTATAAATGGACTGCTTGCAGGTATCATCACTAATCACTAATGCTCAACAACATTCACTAAAGGGTCAGCATTCAGCAACCGTACCAAACTGTATCGAACCGAACCGATTAGATTGAGATATAGTTTTCCTTAGAAGTTAGAACTAAACTAACTCAAACTAAAACTAAACAAGAAAACTGAACTTATTCACCCTAATTTGATTATATGAGATAATCTTATACTAGGTTTAGCGAATGTGGTTAGTAATTTATGAATGTGATTTAGCAAACGTGGTTTGAATCTTCAGATGTTCGATTTCATCCCTTATAATTTACGAACGAACATATTTATTTACCATTTAGTCTTGAGAAATTATCGACAACTATTCATAAACTTATTTAATATTTTTTAAGGCATGATCAATATCAGACAAAACTGAACCGAAATGACTATGGTTACAATTCAGACATAACTAAACTAAACCGAACCAAACCGGACCATTGACTCTGTGTTTTTTCGTTCTTCCCAAATGCTGCAGTGACTCTGTGTTTAACAGTTGGAACTGGAGAGATTCGGACAACTCGATGTTGCCGGTATATAAGGAACTCATGGAGGCTGGTCTAAGGATCTGGGTCTTTAGGTATATACGCTATGTTTCGGTATAATGAAACTAGTTACCAAGATCACAACAGTAACAAGCTCTTTTTGGTCAAATAAAGAAACGTTTTTCAATCAAATTGTGATGCAGCGGTGATACAGACTCGGTGATTCCAGTGACAGCGACTCGGTTTTCCCTCAGCAAACTCAATCTTCCAGTGAAAACTCGCTGGTACCCTTGGTACTCCGGGAATCAGGTAACATTTTTACATAAGTATAACTCTGTAGTATATGCTTATTATGAGGAACTGTTGAATGTGATATGACGGTGACAGGTAGGAGGACGAACAGAAGTATACGAAGGGCTTACCTTTGTGACTGTAAGAGGAGCAGGCCACGAGGTTCCATTGTTCAAACCGCAGAGTTCGTTAATCCTTTTAAGATCGTTCTTGGCTGGAAAAGAGCTTCCAAGATCTTAGTTTGGCAAGCCTATGGAACCTGAGTAAACATGGTGTTTTGTTTCCGTTTTTTTTTGTTCTGTTTTAAGAAGCTATTCATTTCTAAGACAATAAGACTTTGAAGCATTCTTGGTAAGGGAAAGATTTTGATACAAGAAGAATTGTGTTGATATTCCAGATTATACCAAGGGGAATAAAATTGCAGAGAGACAAAAGATTTAAATCTTTATATCTGATTCCATAAGAGTAAAGTACAAAGATCTGTGCTTTTTGCCTGACTGATACAAAGAAAAGAAAGCCAACCTCTCATAACTGAAAGTTTTGAATATGACAACAATTACAGTTTCTTACTTCATTCTTTCACTGAAGTCCCGGTGGCATGCCTAAGCTCTGCGCAAGGTCGCTCATTCTTTCTTTCATAGCCTGTGAAATCCAAACTTTTCAAATTAGAGAAAGAGATGAAGAGAAACAGATACTTTAGCATGCATTGTGATATAAATGGTCTGCGATTGCTTTACCACTACACTCTTTGCGTGTGCGTCCTTGTATGCTTCTGTGACCAGTTGTGAAAGTTTCTGCCAAAGAAAAAACACACGACATGAGAAACTATAACCAGTTGCTTTTGATTGTTCCATTACAAGGTCAGTGCGGTTACTAACTTCGGAACCTAGTTCCATTGCCGCATCAGTTATATCAGTACGGATTGGTTGCTGGTTCCCTGATAATGTAACCTGATACGAAATTCAAAGGTCCAATCATCAGAAATTTGTATCAGAAACAGAGAAGATTAAACCACATTCCATGATTGTAGGTTTGTTTTTGCCAAATTATCCAAAGATTTAACAAGTCAGACAACAACACAATTCTTACATCCATCAAGTTTCAAAAAGTAGAAGACAAAGACGCATCTTTTACGGAAACAGAGCCGGATAATGAGCCAGGGTAGATAATGACATTAATAAGGAGTTCTTGAAAGCTTTCCAAGGCAAAAAGTTTGGTAATAGACTAATAATTGGTAACAACACAATTCTTACATCCATCAAGTTTCAAAAGTGGTGGAAAAAGAAGCATCTTTTAGGTAAACAAAGCCAGATAATGAACCAGGGTAGATAATGACACTGATAAGTAGTCTTTGAAAGCTTTCCAAGGCAAAAGATTGGTAATAGACTAATAGTTAATTTCTTGTGTATATTATGCATAATGATCAAATAGAACAAAAAAAAATCTAGTCTTTTCTTGTGTGCATTGATCTAGTTGAGGCGACACTGACCTTGACAAGCTCGCCTTCACAATAACCATCAAATTCCGCGCTGAAACGACAGCAGCAGAGAACTCAAATACACGAAGAAGATAACTTCAAAATTTGCAAACTTTGTATAGTGAAATGCGACTTACGCAGCTAACTCTTTTTGCACACGTACAGCCTCAACTTGAACAACCATCTGAGCTTTCTTCACAGTCTCATACATATTCTGCATATTCCCAAAGATTCCTGCCTAGAAAAGATCACCACAAGGATAAGAAACAAAACTCTTAAGTCCCAAAAAACGGATTTCACAACTATAAAAACAAAGCCTTTCGAGTCGAATGTACCTTTGATTGTCCATCCTCGGTGTTATCTTTCTTCCCACCTCCGAATAATCCATTCACACGAAGAGACCTTTTGCAAAATTTGGTGGGCTTGTACTGATTTGGCCATGTAGCGTTCTGTCTACTTCCTCTCTGCGAATTCAAGCTCGCATTTCCTGCAAATTGATCGAGATTTCAGCTATCCCAAATTAAAAAAATCGAATTTTGCAATCTAAAACACTCTCATCACCACATTTGCAACACGCTTCAGCTCTTTACTCAAAATCACATCTCTCTAACCTAAATCGAGAGAGAGAGAGAGATGGGAGTTCAGGAATAAGAGAGACTGACCATGGGAGAAAGGAGATAGCAGAGATTTGGTGAAATCGGTGGTCGACGCCATGGTTTCTTCTTCTACCGGAGGAGATAAGAGAGAGATGGGCTCAGGGCTCTTAAATTCGACTAGATAAACCGGAGGAGGAAGAGAAAAGCTTTTTTTTTTTTCGTAGTTAGTGTTTGTTCAAGTTCTTAACCAATGATTTAGCGCCACGTCACCAAACACTTTGAGCTTATATGTTTGTTTTTGGGTATTTGTATATCCTTTCCGGAGTTAAGTCACAACTTTATAACATTTTCAGCACCCAAAACTAGGTTTGGATTCAATTTGGTTCCTTTGGATTTAGAATAGTTTGGTATTAGAGGTTTAAGACTTTATTTTGGTGTACCAATTTGACTTTCAAGAGCTATAAAAACAGAATACCATTCATCATCTCAAATTTTTTTTTTTAAATGTATATTATGTTTCATTGATTTCCAATTCAAAACTAGTTAACAAAGAGTGAAATTTATTCATGTCATTTATAAATTACTCAAACTCAAGTTATTCTCTATGTTAATTAACAATAAATCCCAATTGAAGTTATCATATGTTATCTTTTCACTGTGTATACAACAGCTCATGAACAAATCAACGAAAATTAACCTTAAGCTCAGATTCAGATTGAGATTCTCCACAAAACTAAACTAGAAAAACTCATCAGCTAATTTCGAACCGTAAATAATCTAGGGACCAGTATGCTCTGCAAAAGTCAAACTTAATAGATTTAAATGCATTGTAAATATCTAAATATATAGAAGAAGACTACACAAGCTTAATTAGACGAACATGCAAATATAAAAAATCTAGCAAAAGCAATACTCACAAGTCTCTGGGAACATGCATAAAGTCTAGCCAAAAAAAGCAACACTCAGAAAGTCTCTTCCTCTTATTCTGGAACCGGAACTAGACTTGGAACATATACATTGCACCATATCTTTTGTCCTCTCATCGTAACTTGTTTTTTGATCTCACCTTCACCCATTTCGTAAATACTGGTGTACATACATTTCTTCTTGATGTCAGTTTCCTCGCACAATAGCATGATCTTATTGTTCTTGAGTGTAAAGTATTCCGGAATACTGAAAGTGGAGATGGAATGTAATATTGAGGGATCAATAGTTACATTAAAATACTTGCTCCATGAGACATTAATCCCATCAGTCACCTTGCTTGTAACCCACACCTTAACCTCCACATCGTTATGTTGATGAAATAAAGAAAGCCTATGTCCTCCAAGACCTGACAAGAGCAATTTATGGTCAAAAGGCACAGAACTCACAATTCCCTTTGGAATTGGAACACAGCATATGGGCTTGAACATTTCTGTGGAAAAATCAAAACTTTGGATGAAGATTTCGATTTCAGAGTTAACCCTCCCCTTTTGAGCAATCCAATACATGTTTCCATTCATAGACACTGATTTCCGCAGTGCATCACAATCTAGAATAGTATCAACACTTCTCCAGAGTTTAGACTTAAACTCATATATCTCAATCTCTGATGATGTGACTCAGTGTGTATACTAATCCTCAAGATCTTGTAGTTTTCACGGGATACATTGTCATATCCAAAACCGTAGACATCAAAAAATTTGCGAGAATTCGAGGGTTTGATCCATTTGAATTGTCTCAAAATCGGATTCCAAACTGCGAGCTTCATAGTATAACTACACCTAAGTGTCTCAAGACACTTACATAGCAATAATCCGTGGCAGTGAATCATTTTTGAATAAAGAAGACTGTGTAACTCGTTTGAGACAGCTTTGGTCTCCGGATCGAAGAGTTGACTCGTTTCATGATCATTTTGTATGGATCGTTCTTTGGAGAGATCCAAATATTTGTAGATGAATCTCTTGTCGTTGATGAGAGCGTACCAATGTTTGCATATCGATTTGAATCGTCCCAAAGTTTCAAACGGAAGCCTGTAAAGTATCTCTTCTACTAACTCAAAAGGCAGCAACAACGACGAACGCTGCTTTGAGGAAATCATGGGAGAAAATTTAGAGAACTTAGGTCACTAAGAGAAAGAAAAAGCTTCCTTTTGTACCCTAATCGATTAATTATTTTTTCTTAAAATTAAAATTTTAATTATAAAAACATATACTTATAATAAAAATAATAAAGATCCTTGTGGGCTTTATTATAAAGATCTCTACATCAACAAGTCATTCGGCGATGCTTTACCGATGAGGTTGTAAGATGATGATTGTATCAATCATAAGTACATTAATTAGAGATATACACAAAGTAATATTAATATATTTGATAAATCTAAAGGAAATATTCATTCCAGAATATTCCTATTCTAACACCCCAGTCGAAGTTGGAGATTCCCAAACACTGAGAGACTGGATCAAAAGTCAACGAACAGCAACGGGAGCCTTTGGTGAAAATGTCAAACATATTGATGCACATAGAGTATATGTAGTATCTTAATATGTCTAAGTGCAACTCTTTCACGTACAAAGTGAATGAAAATTTCTGTGTTTTGTACAGTGATGTTGCACAGGATTTGACAAGAGGTAGACCACACTAACGTTGTCATAGAAAACCACATAAGCTTCTTGTAGCGGGCATCAAAGCTCGAGAAATAAGTTACGTAGCCAAGTGAGTTTGGCAACAACATTGGCAATACCCCAATATTCAGAGCACTCGATCGAGAAATGGTCTGACGTTTGGAAGACCAAGAGATCATGGTATCATTATCAAAGACAAACCCTAGCAAATCTCAATATCCTAATCTCGGTTGCTAGAACTCGATCCATCTCTGCACTTATTCTTTTTCTTCTTTCCTCTTTGTTCTCTCTCTAGACCCCATGGCTTCCACCGCCTCTTCTTCTTCTTCTTCCTCTAGTTACAAACCGTTTGGCATCGCCCAAATTCGTGTGTACATACCAATTCAACTTGATCTCAACAAGATGAGATATGATGTATGGCGTGAGCTCTTTGAAACTCACTGTCTCATGTTTGGTGTTCACGATCATCTCAATGGCTCGATCAAAGTTTACACCCACCGATGAGAAGACCTGAAAAGAACATGATGGCCTCATGAAGATGTGGATTTATGGCACTGTGTCTGAACAACTACGCGACACAGTTCTCAAAGCCAAATCCTTGGCCAATGACGTATGGCTCTCTCTCGAAAATATCTTTCAAGACAATAAGGAAGCTTGTGCCCTCTAATATGATAACGAGTTTCGTACTTTTGAAATCGGTGACCACAATGTTCATGAATACTGTCAGAAACTGAAGACTTTATCAGATCTTCTCGCCAACGTTGACTCTCTGGTCTCTGACGGTGTGTTGGTTATGCACCCTCTCAACAGGTTGTCTCTTGTCTGACAAATACGACAGCATCATCAATGTTATCCAACACCAGACCCCTTTTCCATCCTTCACAAAGGCATGCTCGATGTTATCCATGGAAGAGCAACGCCTTGCGAAACAAGTCAAAATCAGTCCGCGTTCACAAGACAATTCATCTTCCTCCTCTGTTTTGTTCACCATCTCCGACCAACAACAACAGCGTCAACAAAACTATGGAGGCTCTAATCGCAGTTCCAATCACAATAACCAAGGCAAAGGTGGTCGGAACAATCATGGTCGAAGTTAGAATAATTATTGGAATCAGCAAAACTATGGACATTGACAACAACCGTGGGTCTATCCTCCATGTTACGGTGCTCCACCGGTGTATCCTCCTCCGTGGTGCTATCCCGCTCCTCCTCTGATGCCATTGCATCACTCATCTAGCGGTATCTTGGGTTCCTACTCCCAACGTTCACGTAGCACGCGAAGTAAATTACGCTCACAACATGCACTACATGCCATCGATTGGGAGCTCGAATGCATCTATTCCGACTGCCTTGTCCAATGCGTTCAGCACTATGAGCATTCAGGACCCTTCAGATCAGACCTGGTTCATGGATACTGGTGCCACCAACCATAACATGCCTCAGTCAAGTATGCTACGTTCTATTTTTATTAAGAGCATTATACCTCTTGTCACTATATAGACATCTTTTGCACGTGTAACTCAAACTGGTCACACCACTCTTCCATCGTTTTCATGCCCTCTCCACCTTCGTGATGTTCAAGAACCTTGTCTCGGTCCAACACTTTTTGCTTGATAATCAATGCTCTATTGAGTTTGACCCGTTTAATTTTTGTGTTACGGATCTGCAAACGAGGACTCCTCTGCTCCGATGCGATAGCACCGCTCTCTATACTCCGTCTCACCGTCTACTGCCTCCACTTCGCTTGCACTCTCTGTTTCCTCAAATCTGTGGTATTGTCTTCTTGGTCATCCGGGCAATACGACACTGCAATCACTTGTTTCTTCTGGTTTTATTTCTTTTAATAATAAGACCGACATGGCAAATTTGTGCGTGTCAATTAGGGAAACACACTAGATTGCCATTTAGTTTGTATACTTCTGTTACAAGAAAACCTTTTGTTGTTATTCATTATAGAATATTCCTATTTTAACTTGTAAGATGATTAAACTCCGTAGGTAATTGTATAAATCATAAGTCCTTATATAGGTACAGTAGAGATATACACAAAAGTAATATTATAACATATTTGATAATATCTAAAGGACATTCATTCTAGAATATTCTTATTCTAACGGAGGTAATATCTGTCATATGTGGACAGAAGCAAATATGTAGAGGAACGAAAATGTTTTGAAAAAGAGATGACAGATGATGAATCTAGGAATTACCCAAAGCTGAACAAGAGTATGCAAGAAGCAGATTTGAAGGTTAAAAAATGGATTTAAAGGCCAATTTTAAGGGAATTCTTTTTTTTTGGATGGATGAAGGGGCCATTTAGAAGCCCCTGCCTATCTCTAAATTATGTTGTCATGACCTCGAAGCATCTTGTATGACTTTTCCACGTAATGAACCTTACCTTTTGTAAGATCCGCTTATTCCTTTTCAAGCAGAGCTTTGTGATTTTATCGTGTTTTGATGCAAAAACCAAGAAATGTGAGTGGGGCTTGAAAAGCATGAGACGTCTACACTTGGTGACACAACACGGAGAGGACAAGTACTTAGGCTCACTGTTTCGTCGTTATTGGTACACTTTTGGTTTGAGGATCTTCA